AAGGTCGACGACGTCCGGCGGGGGAGTTGCAGCTGCAAGTGCGTTGAGAGAGAGAAGTTGAAGGGTTTTAGTAGGAAGAATCTAGACTTGGTGTGGCTGCGGAGGGAGGAACGAGTGCTGGAAATGGTGGAGAGTGGCCTTTGTGATTCCTGTTTCTGGGAGGCTGAATTGCCTGTGTTTTGCAACATGTTAGGGCCGCGCAATAATGTGTTTCTTGTGTGAATTAATTGTTTAGAATGTTTCAAATAATAAACAGAATGTTGCAAGGGTTTTCGTAGATGAGAGTATTTTATTCACCAAAACTACTCGCCCAGAGTGTGAACAATCGAAGAATATACTAAGCATTTTATGAGGTTGTACTTGTATCAGGACAACACGTCAACTCCATGAAGACGGGAGTTTTAATTTAGTCGAAACATTGATTAGGAGAAAAGAAAAGGAATGGATGAAATACTATGAATGAAGAGCGTTAACCATCATGTCAATTGTTAAATACTTAGGCCTGCCTATAAAAGTGGACGAGAAAAAAAAAGTTTTGAATATTTAGTGGATATGATGAGAAAGAAAGTAAAAATTCGGAAGACTCAACTACTATCCAGTACATGTAAGGAAGTTCTTATAAATTCAGTCGCTCAAGCACAAATAAACTTCGCATTGTCAGTATTATGATACTCATTGGGGTGCTTTTTTAATATAAAGGTGATGCCATTTTACCCATTGGGGTATTTAAAGAGGTTTAAAAAATCATTGCGAATTTTCGACGATGAAACAACATGATAAGAAAAGAACACTTTGGATGAAATGAGAAGTGATATGCAGACCAAAGAAACAAGGTAAATTGGGTTTTAGGTTCCTGCAAAATTTCAATTAGGCCTCATAGGAAACCAGTTTAGGAGACTTATGCAAAATCTAGATTTCCTAGCGTCACAAGGGATAAAATGCTAAATATCATCCTAACTGGGAGATTCTGGAAGCATACGAACGTTGCAACCCGAGTTTTGTTTGGAGAGGTTTAATGGTAGTGAAGTAGTTAATTGAAATGGATTCAAGATGGCGGATAGGTAATTGAGATATGGTAGATATATGATCGGACAAGTGGTTTCCAAGTTCATAGGCCAGAGAGGCACATGGTTTAGTCTCTGATTCGGGCCCAAATGTACACATTTCAACCCTCTTTTCTTATTCGTTTAGCTTAGTATTTCATCTTCCCTCGACATATTTTACGCTAGGTTGTGATTGTTTCGATATATTTCATGTCCTAGCACGTGTGGAAGGGTCGAGGTCGAATTTTGGGATAATTGGAGGTTAAAAAGCGCAAAAACCAAAGAAAAGTCCGAAGTGCAAGCGTCCAGGAAGCAACCGCAGTTTATGGTCAAACAAGGGACTTCACGGTCTCCTAAGACCGTGAACTGGAGCCACAAACCGTGAACATCGAGCAGTCCAGCAGGTTTCAGAGGTTACTGACGTCAAGGGAGTTCACGGTCGCTAAGACCGTGAACTGGGGCCATTAACCGTGAACCCAGGAGAGTAAAGTGGTGCGTTTTGGAGACGACTGAGTTCACAGGCGCGTAGCTGTTCACGGCCGTGAACTGGCCAACGCGTCCATGAACTGCTCACTTTCGGACAAATATGAAGACAACAGCGGGGAGAGAGAAAAGGAGGGTTGGTTTTTTGGAGAGAAATTCAATTTCCTATCTAGGGTTTGCCCAAAAACACCAAAGGGGAGTTCTAGTGAGAGAGGGAGAGAGTGCTAGAGTGATCTTGGAGCATCATTGGAGGCTTGGGTGGATCTTGAAGACAAGGATTCAAGCCTAGAAGAAGAAGATCTTGAGAAGCTTGGTTTTCCTGGGCACTTTGTGCCTACTATCTAGGTTAGAGATGAGCATCCCCCTTGACTCAAGTTTGCATCTAGGTTGGTCGTGATTAAGCCGCTCAAACTCCGGTTTAAGGGAGAGACCTAGGAAACCCCTAGACGTCGTGAGAGGATCGATCTTGTGACAAATTGATCGCTAGTGAATTGATTCCATGACAAATCGATCACTAGTTTCTCACCCTCGCGGTTCACAACCACCTACACCACACGACTCCATTCAATCCAACGAGTCATGGTAGCTAGTTACGGGGAAGCAACTCCTAAGTGAAGCTCCTTTAGTTAGAATTTTCCTTTATTTACTTTTCTTTGCTTGTTTAGTTTATAGTTTCATTAGTTATAAAGCCAAAAGTTTCTTGCTAGATAACAACCTAAGCGATTGAAGTAGGGGTACATGGATCGACCCGGGTTGATAATTAAAACTTACTTGCCCTATGTTGCACCCCTCTAGAGTTTAAAAACTTGGGCTCTAGAGGGGTTTCTAGTGTGGTGTTTTGTGTGAGTCAGTCTCCAATTTCCATTGACCACATCAGTAGTGGAGCTCATGGATTTATAGGAGAGGACTTGCTGTCAATTTCCATTGACTAGAAAATATTTCAATCCCTAAGCAACCAGTAAACTGGGTGAGTATTCTGTCAAAATGGCTTACTGTTGTGGCAAAAGTGAAATAAAAAATAATTGAGAGAGTTTTACTTGGTAGTAAATTGGGAGAGGTGTGGAAACTGCATACCCCCTGTAGGTAAAGGTTTTTGCTTGGAAGTTGATGCATAACATTCTGCCTACGGGGGCCAGAATTGTAGAGATGACTCAAAAGGTGGAATGAAGATGATCCATTATGTGATCTAAAAGAACATAAGAATATATTTTCTAGAGGGTGTGGCTAGGCAAGACGCATGTGGAGGCCTAACCCATTACAACTATGTACATACAAGGTGAGAATCTGACATGCGAGGAATGGTTTTGTGCCTTCCAGGAGACGAAAGCAAACAACATGATTGGGAAATTCCTAGTCACACTCTAGTACATCCGAGATCATAGGAATAACCAATTTTGGGATAAGAAGAAGTTAGAGGAATGTGAGATAATGGAAAGATTGAGTGAGTGCATGGAGCATCAGAGATTGGCCTTTCCACCTTCGTTTGGAAGCATAAACCCAGAAACCCATCGACGAGCTCGCATTTCAAAATTAATGTGATAGATAAGGATGATTTAAATTAGCGGTCGTTCATCAGACTCACATTCTGTAAGAATCGGAAGTGGCAGAGGCTATGGCAGTGAGCTTTGAAGTGGAAATGACGATCAAATTTCATTTCATTACCTTTCTGAGGAAGTCAAAACGGATTGCCAGGTTGTAAAGCACCTATTGCATAGCCAGGCATCCTCCTCTATGGAGTTGGGCCAAGTGTGTGACGAATCAAAGTGAAGGCCTTACGGATGGGGCGTATCGATGGGAGTTTTGTGAGTTGGGAACAAACCTGCCATAAAATGACCCATGTTAAATGTAAATATGAGGTTGAGCATATTTGGATGAATAGAACACCAGTTTTGTTAAAGTCATTATCATCTCTACTATCAATCCTCTCTGCCCTGTGGGTAATCGTCAGTCATGAGCATGACAAGGCGTTCTGAAAGGCAGGGAGCTACTTAGAAAAGGCCTCCGATGACAAGTGGGTTGCGGGACTGCAGTAAGTATTCTTCATGACTACTGGTTGCCTACCTCGCCTCCGTCTTCCCCTTCACTTTTACCAGGTGTTGTGCTCTCCAACCCTTTTGTAGCTTCCTTAATTCATCCCTTGTCTCATTCATGGAATGTGTAGTTGATTCGATCTACTTTCTAGTCGGTGAGTGTGACTAGGATTCTCTCAATTCCACTTCCTTCTAACCCTCTTCCTGATTGACTAATCTGGCACTACTCTCCTTCCGATCAATATACAGTCAAGTCCGACTACCATCTTCTCTCGTCTGAGCGAGATAATATGTTTGGGAACCTCCCGCTGCAACTGGATATGAAGTTCTAAAAGTATCTTTAAAGTTTGCCAATCCCCGCGAAATTAAAGTTGTTCCTTTGGAGGGTTGTTTGTGGCTTCTTGCTACTGTGTGCGATCCTCCAAGCAAAGTCCTTGTTCCCAACTCGTACTTGTCCAGTTTACTCGAAAACTGATGAAACCATTTCACATTGTTGTCTTGACTGCAGGATTGCAAGGGTTGTATGGATGGCAGCTGGGAAGAATTGATTGTGCCAAACTTTAAGCCTAATCCCTCCTGATTTCTTATGGCCTCGTATCTTTTTCTCTTTACAGATGTTTAAGTCTCAAATTGCGGAGATAGTATTCATTGCCTGGCGGTTGTGGAAAGGTAGATGTTGGTATGTTTATGATCATATTCAATACCTTCCACCAGCCCTGTTTTGCCAGTTTCAGAATCAAATGGCGAATGCAAGCTGCTTCCAATTCTTCCGCTCATCGTCGGCTTCAACCACAACGTGCTTCCACTCTCACAGTGCCTCCAACAAGTCCTTTAGGTGGTCTGCTAATGCGATTTGATGGAGTAGTCCGGATGAATGATGTAGGCATCATTGGTTTTGTAGGTTTCACTACAAAATCTGCCTTAGTATGCGCTTATGGTAAAAAGTACCCAGGTTTGGAAGACCATTTCCTTCTTGAATTATTAGCTATTAGGGACGCTATGAGCTGGTGCTTAAGCCATGGAGTTAATGATGTTTGCTTTTGTGGAGATTCTCAATTGGTTATCAGGCAAGCTAAGAACAACGAGATTCAACATGACAGAGGAGGAGCGATACTAGAAGAAATTCTTCTCATGAAGACCTCTTTTTCTTTTGTGCAATTTGTCTATGCTCAGTGTAGTACTGACAGGGCTGCCCATTGTGCGGCAAAAATGCCCTTGCATCGGCAGATCAACAATTGGTTGACTGTCGCTTCTTACTTTCAAACCTCTTGTAATTTGCTATCTATTGACTATCTATCTATGACAAAAAAAAACATGCGTTGTCAAGAGTATTTTGATCAATAAACCGATGAACCGAACCAACCAACCAAATAAATCAACCAACCAACTCACGGCGTTTTTTTTTTGTAATGAAAAAAAAAATGCACAGTCGCCAAACAGGCAGACACACACACACTTCCTGCTTCAACAGCTCGCAGCACGATCTTCGTTTTTATCGTCCCTTTCCGCCATAATTCTTCCGGAGCTTCCAAAGCACTTGAAGCCATAGAAATCCCCTTCCACAGCTCCTATAAACCCCGAAGCTCTACATCATCGTTCCTCTGGCTACTCTCATCGCTTCGCATTCTTCTTCGATTGTTAGGAGGAACTTCGGCGGAGCTCTCATGGCTGCTATTGCGGGATCCAGTGCCGTCGCCCTCAAATCCGCCGGAACCTCCGCAGATTTCCGAAGCTCCTCCGGTGAAAGGAGCATCGGCCAGTTCCGTCCGGTTTCCAGCCAAGTCAGCAGCAACCTCCACGCTGTTCGCGCTAGCCTCCAGTGCAGATCGCGAAGTTCCGTCGCATCTTCTGGTAATCAATTTCGTGTCGTTTGTGATCTTTATTTTGTTTTTGGATTTCTTTCATATCTGATTTTGGATTTTGGCGGCAGGCGTGAGAGCTCAGGTTGCTACTGCGGAACAAGCGAGCACGGAGGCGGTTCAGAAGGTGGAGTCGCCTGTAGTTATAGTGACTGGAGCGTCGAGGGGCATCGGCAAATCAATTGCATTGTCCTTGGGGAAAGCAGGTTGCAAGGTCAGTGATGATTGCTCTCTGGTTTGCTATTCGCATTTGCTTTTATGGCTCTAGTAATCTTAAGTCCAAACGGAGGAAGGTACACCGTGTCAGTTATGGCCAGAAGTGAACATTTGAAATGACTCTGTTCGGCTATGTTTTGGACTGCAACAGGTTTTGGTAAACTATGCAAGATCGTCTAAGGAGGCAGAAGAAGTCTGCAAAGAGGTGACTGTTCTTCCTTTCTTGCTATGGCATAGGATTTAATTGCTCTGTGCTACCTAGACATAGCGGATTTCGTATACGAATATGCTGACTGAGACATTGAATCATTTGGTTTAGATTGAGGCTTACGGTGGTCAGGCTGTTACCTTTGGTGGGGATGTCTCTAAGGAAGAGGACGTGGCAGCAATGATGAAAACTGTGAGAACAATAACCTTTATTTATTGGTTGGTTTTGAGAGAAGTTTCTCAGTTAAGGTTTTTGACTAGGATTGCTTAAATAATGGCCAATTGTGCAGGCCATTGATGCATTTGGAACAGTTGACATACTGATAAACAATGCAGGTAAACTTCGGAGACCATTTTGTGCTTGATGATTCTTTTTACCCCAATCTTGTTGGGCATTCTAATCTTATTGAGCAAGGTTGCAGGGATCACGAGGGATACTTTGTTGATGAGAATGAAGAAATCACAGTGGCAGGATGTTATTGACCTCAATCTTACCGGTGTCTTCCTTTGCACACAGGTATGGGGTTTGAGATTTGTACTTGTGCACAGACAAAGTGAAATTTCCTTATGTTGAACCAAGTTAGTTTACTCTTTGCAGGCAGCAGCCAAGATCATGATGAAGAAGAGAAAGGTATTATAACTGATCCAGCTTAAGCTTTTCTGTTTACTTTATGCTCTGAAACTCTGTCTTGAACATAGTTGAGGTTTTGAATTGCTTCTTTTGTAGTTGAATTCTTCTTTGCTGTAGGAATATTTTCGAAGGGAAGTTTCAATTTAGGACAAATCCTACTGTTATTCATAATAGTATTTCTGCAAGAAACTTTTCTGGTGGTCTCTGACCTTTGTGATGCATTCTTTCTTCTTGTGTTCTGAAGGGAAGGATTATCAATATTGCTTCAGTGGTTGGTTTGGTTGGCAATGCTGGGCAAGCAAACTACAGTGCTGCCAAGGCTGGAGTTATTGGCTTTACAAAGACTGTTGCAAAGGAATATGCCAGCAGAAATATTAATGTGGGTGGTCTGGAAACATAACCGTTCTCTCGCGCTTATTGCCTTCTATGAAAAGAAAGATGGTTCTTGATTATTGAACTTGGGGCTTATTGAACGCAATATTTTCCAGGTCAATGCAGTTGCTCCAGGGTTCATTGCATCCGACATGACTGCCAAGCTCGGTGATGATATTGAAAAGAAAATATTGGAGGGGATTCCTCTAGGTGAGCCGTGATCTTAAACTTTCTGGTATGCTGTTTTAGGTGTGTTAGCTAGCTTTAAGTAATGCTTACAGGGTTCAAGACTTAGTTGCAGAAAGCCCATACTTGCATTAATTGTTTGTGCAACTACTGCCGTGGAACCTCACGTAATGAATGCTTTTGCGAGAAGCTTATCATCAGTGCATGTGCTCTTTCGTCTTTAGCCAGTACTGGATACCTTAATGATAAACTTCCCAATGATTGGTGTCTAAATTGTTAATATTTATCCAGGGAGGTATGGCCAGCCAGAAGAGGTAGCTGGATTGGTGGAATTCTTGGCTCTGAACCCAGCGGCCAGTTACATCACTGGACAGGTCGCGGATCTTCTCCTTCCTAGCTATTTCCTTTTTCTCTTGGTTGTTTTAGTTTTAACATGCGATCTTGCTGCCAGGGAACAATTCCAGTTAGGTCCTCTTCCCTCAAGTCCATTGTTCCCAGACCTTCTGCCTTAACAGGCTAACCATCGCGTTTACCCCATTATTTCCCCTTGACAACATCCAAACTAGACTGCAAGTTCTTATACTCTTTCATGCCGTGTCAGGGCATTATTTACATTAGCTTAAATCGAATAGAATCCACCACTAACTAGAGAAGCATTAGACAGACAGCGTTCTGCACTTTGCCTAACCATTTCTCTTATAATTGGCTAAACAATACTGACTCAACATGGTCTTGGTCTTGCAGGTGTTTACTATTGATGGAGGCATGGTTATGTAAGTGCATGGGGGAGGACAGGCTCCCTCTCCCCTCTCCCAATCCCGACGGTGCAGCTACCAAGTTCAGATACGTGACCCTTCGATTCGTGCTTCTATTTCATTTTAACTTAGGTTATATCCTATGATTAGTTTAGTTAATAAACCGAATGCTCCCTTTCCTCAGTTTTCCGATCGAGTTCCAGTCATAGTGTCTCGCTGCATGTACTTTCCGTGTAATCTAAGGACGAACATTCAAGAAGCGGATGAACTTCAATTTGCTCTCTTACAATTGAGCTTTTTTGTTGTATGATGAAAACGAGTCCTTTTTCTGTGCTGGTGTGTTATCTCATGTCATGTACACTGGAAAACGCAGTTTTCGTGATAGGTATAAGTAGTGTGCGTGTGTGTGAGATGAGATCATATATAGTAGGGGTATAAATTCATCAATCTTTTGCGTGTGGTGGAGAAATTGGTCTGAATAGGAAGCATTTTCCCGGCACAATAAAATGGAATATGCAGCCTGGCTGGCAAACACATCCGAATATCCGACACGGCATAAAAGCATAATAACGTACCATAACAGAACTCGCAAGCAGGGAAGAAGTCGTTAATTCTTATCTTCTACTTTGCTTCTCGGCTTGGTTAGTGATTTGCTTGCACCCTTAACCTATCTAAACATAATTCAAGTCCCATCTTGTTAGAAAGGATTCGGAAATCGATAGTGTAAGAAAGTAAAGAACACACAAATTTATGTGGTTTACTTATGTTATTGTTAGCTAATTCATATATTGTTAGCTAATTCATATCCAAGAGGAATGACTGGTCAGTTTCACTGTATTTGAGTAGATACTAATTAATAGATTGAAAAGGAATATATAGTCCCTTCTTCAGATGGCCTAACTTAATCCAACCTCAAAAAGAAAAGGTTACAAGCCTCGTAACTTCCGGTCGATGACAAATTTTATGTTTTCAAATCATAGCAACATATCTTCTTCTAAATTGGTAGATGTACTTGTATGGAATATTTCACTATTTGACGAGACATTAAGTAAAATTTACATCATTTTGCGCACAATACGTGGCTCGCATACTATATACTCTTCGACTTGCTACTTTTCACTTGTACTAGACTTAAATTTTTGGCTCCGTTGTTAGACAATCGATGCCCATGTCGCTTGGTCGTCATTGTACAATCTACATGTAGGGGCGGACCTACGTGTTGCTAAGGGTGTTGGACTTTGCCCGAAAATTTTGTGAAGAACCTATATTGTTTTGGTACAAAAAAAATTAATACGAAATTTCCGACACCGCTTTAATATTTATAATCGATACTCGTTCATTAGACGACACCTCTCTTCAACAATACTGGGTCCGTCACTACCTACATGTGAAGAGATTGAAGCAAACGGAAGAAGAAAAAAAGTTGTTTAAGCTATTAGAAAGAAGATGATCACTATTACAAAGAAAAAAAAGTACAAATGAAACCCGAAGTGTACGAAACTAATTGATTCCTACTCCACTCCAATTCTTTTTTTTTTTTATAAGAACTCCACTCCAATTCTCATTCCTACTCAAGTAGTAGTCTTTTCCTTTTTTAATTATGAACTAATAATCTCCAACGTTAATTTAATGCTCCACTATTATTAATTATAAAAAAAAATATATCATAAAAAATCAAAATTTCTGACAAGGACGCCATTGATAATCCAATCCCCAAACCTAAAAGGAATAAAACCTCCGATTTCCCTTTGGATATTCCCTCCTACACAAAAACCCCTTCAAAAACTTCCAACTCCCTTCTCCTTCAATTCCAAGCTCCCATCCCCAATTCCCCACAACCGCCATGGATTCCCTCAACTTCTCTACCTCCTTCGCCCTCTTCCTCTCCATCTACCTCTTCGCCTACTTGGTCCTCTTCCGCAATTGGGGCCCCAAACACCGCGCCGAAGCTTCCTCCTCCTTCATGTCCCTCTCCCACGGCACCCCCGCCGTCCTCCTCGCCGTCCGCGCCCTCCTAACCGCCGCGGCAGGCGGCGCTCCTCCTCTGGCGGCGCCGAATTCGGAATTCCAGAACTCAGTCCTCGATTTCAGCGCGGCCTACTTCGTCGCCGACCTCCTCCACTACCTCGCCTTCTCCCCCTCCGACGTCCTCTTCATCCTCCACCACCTGGCCACGCTCTACGTCTTCCTCACCTGCCGCTTCCTCGTCGGCAGGGGAGCGTACGGCCTCCTGGAGCTCCTGATCCTGGCGGAGGCCACCAGCGCGTGCCAGAACGTGTGGAGCATCGCCCGGTTCCGCAAGGGCGAGTCGGCCGCGGCGGCGAGGCTGTACGAGTTTCTGTCCCCGTTCTTCTACGTGTTCTACTCGGTGGTGAGAGGGGTCCTGGCACCGATTTTCATGATCCAGATGGTGGCGTTCTTCGCCGGCGGTGAGGCCCGGGGGTTGATTCCGGCGTGGGTGTGGGTGTCGTGGATGGTGGTGATTGTTGCGGCGATTGCGGTGAGTGTGATGTGGGTGTCGAGTCACTGGGTGGGTTGGTGTAAGGAGAGAGGGTTTTGGGGACGGAGCTCTGATTTGCAAAGGAGTAATAATAAGGTGAAGTAGGGTTTCGCTCCGGCCGGATAATTCGATTTTACTTTTAGGGATTGATTGCTGTGTGTATATGTGATGAATTCACTGCTGCTGCTTCTTGTTCATAAGCTGTGCCTTCCTTTCTTCTTCTTCTTCTTCTTCTTCTTCTTTTAGAGCAATGCTTGCTTAATCAATGTACTCGTCATTGATGCATGTCGACGTGTGGATTAGCGTCGACGAGCTTATGAGTCGATCGTAAATGTGTAACAAATACAGATCAACGTGCTTATGAGTCGAAAATTAATTTGTTGGAAATCTTAGCATACAAACTTGAAACGAAAAACAAAATCGAATAGAAGCGAAATCTAACAAAAGAAGCAGACTTGGTCTTTTTGTCGTTACTCGTTACTTCATCAGTGTCGACCAATCTGGACAATTGGTTGTGTACAAAAAGAAAAGGATAAGACACTCTTATCACAAGCGACTTGGTTCAACCAATAAGAGAAAGCAGCCAAGAATGTTGACTTCTGACAGTTTTATATCTTGGTGAAGAATTGCAAAAATGGAAGATGACTAATATTCTTTCATTTCTTTTTTCTATTTTGTCTCTACTGATCCATCTGAGTTGAACTGAATAAAATAATAATAATAATAATAATAAACTCAGGAAAAAACCCCTGAAAAGTACAGCTTTTAGAAGAACCCTAATACACATTATCAGTCATAAATTATACAAAGCTCAATTCCTCCAAATGTACATCCCTTGCCCCTTTCCACCAACTTTGTTTCTCTTCGTATGGAGCACAGTTTCCCCAAGGATACAAGGAATGTGGGATGGTGATTTACATATTCAGCTCATATAGACTTGCTGATGATCTGCAGAATCTAGACCAGACTCTGCAACCATAACCATCTAGTATGCAATGCAAGACGACATTCGGGAACGGAGTTGTGATAGTATGTGTTACTTGGGATTTGGGAACACTTCTATATGCTCCAGATAGAGGCATTCATTCTATCAGGGCTGCCGCCGTAATCGAGCTCTACAAATGTGCCACCTCCTTCACCCTTTGCCAGTCTTCCTGGGTTTATACAGATGCACTTCCTCTGCTCTTCCCCTTCAGTTGTTCCTCCGAGCGTTAATACCTGCACCAGAGAGGGAGAGACAGGATTAGAATTTAGAGGGAGTCAATTCAATGATAAGGACAAGGTATGCACTAAGCTTCAACTTACCTTTATGAAGTACTTCATGTCTGAAGGTAATATAAGAACATCAGGTGGAGGAGAAGCAATGTGGAGAGCTTTTGGAGAAAGTGAGAAGTCGAGAGGGACATCTTCTGCCGGCGGATAGAGTGGATAAAAGCTGCTTTCAGCAAGTTTCATGTTGAAGCTGTTAGATACTGTGTTGGGATTCATGATTTGGAAGAAGAAGAAGATAGTCCGTGTATGTAAGCCTTGGGAACTTGCCTTTGCTGATTTAGGATATGGCTTGCAAGTCTGCTCATCCGGTCGCTTGGTGGTGATCCATCTTTGGGATTCCGAGATAGCTCCTCTCCACTAAGCTGTTTAAGGATATCTACCGTACAGCAACCTACTCTGACCTGATATGCCAGGTCATTGAGCGAACTTATGACCAAATCCAAAAGCAAAGGACTAAGATGTTGACATTACCTGATTAGCTTCGAAAATGCCTGGGTTTGGGAGACTCTTGATCTGGGAAAATCAAACAAATAGTACTAAGTCATTCTGCCGTTGTCCCATGATGAAGATCCAACAGACAAGTACGAAAAGAAGTCGTCGTGCAGCATTGATGAGTTACCTGATGTTTGAGCTCGGGAGGATGAATGTCGAATGCAGGCTGGAAAAACCAAAGCACATCGTTATGGGACTCTCGAATTGAGCGACAAACTTATGGGAATGATGCACTAATGGAAACTGCTACAGGTAAAATGAAGAAAGTTAACTTGATGCTACCTGAGGGAAAACAAAGTCATGGTTAGCGTCGCGTATGGAAGGTACAAGAATCACTCTTGCATTGGAACCCATGTGTTCAACATAATCTTGCACCTGAAATTGAAATCAGAGAAAGGGAATCATGATCTAGACAAAGTTGCTTAAACAAATCAATTGGAAAACCAAGTTTTCTGAAGCAGTAAATACCCTTCTGATGATTTCAATATGAAATATTTCATCAAAGCTTCTGTCCGCAGTTCCTTTCTTAACCTCTGGATGTTCAGAGTCCACAAATGGTCCCAACTGAAACATAACAATAATCAGTTAACTGAAAAGAGACTTCTTCACTTGAAAATAAGAAGAGTAGATTGAGTTTCAAAGAAACTAACTGCTTACCAATATAAGCAACTGCGGTTGCTTTTTTCTTGCATATGCTAGTAGCTCCAGGAGAGGTTCAAAATATAAGTTGTCAGTCGTAGTAAATGGTCCTGAGCCAATAAGCTGCTCGAAATAAAAGAAAAGTTATGCTAGGGAATGGAGAGACTGAATTAGAGAGAGAGGATTTGACCACTTCGGACTACCATATTATAACAAAAGGAGTTCATAATCTAACAAAATGGAAGACTACTCGGGCACAAGTACTAACCACTGATATCTCTTTTTCTGGACTGGATGAGTCAACCAACTGAATGTCTTGGTCCAAGGCTGGTCTTTTCGCAGGATGCAAATCTTCAACATTGTTTGCTGATAAAGGAACAGAATCTACCAGCTTCGATGCGATCAAACAATATCCACTTGGATTGTTACCTTCAACACCTACAAATCTGCAGAGAAATAACTCGTCTTTTGGTTGAGTATGCAATTGGACGTGAATGGATCAAACACCAATAACTTGTATTCACAGATTTTACCTGTCCTGGAAAAACAGAGAACTGGTTCACTTTTTGCAGATCTAGACGCACACGCTGTCCTCCTGAATGCTCGATGCTGTCGAATTCAGGCTTTAAGTATTCAAAAAAGAATTCATAAATATGAGCAAGGAAACAAACTTTGGATAATAACCAGTGAAACAGAATGGTTCTCTTCCCATGTAATCCTTCTAGATGATGATTATAAGAGGGCCCTGATGAAGTATATGCCATGCTTTCTAAGTTTTATGTTTTAGACCACCCATGGAAATGTGATCAAAGAAAGAATACTGTTCTGTAGATTCAATTAGGGTTAAAAGTTGGACATGGTGTCATAGTTAATCTGCTTATCTATAAGAAAGCATAACAGTTTCCATCAATGAAGTTTTACCTGCTTTGCAGCATAATGGACTTGTCATTTAGTCGACCTTCCTCTTCACAACAAATCATTCCAACAGCAAATATACTTCTCTGAAACAGTAGCATTCACGAGATGAATGAGATATGTGAATCAGTGAATGTCTATATGCTTAAAATTGCAAATCAAATGAACACAAAACTAAAAAACAATAAAACCTCCAAATGCTTGAGGTGCTTTCTAACGCCGCAAGGAAAGAAGAAGGAAGTGGACTGTAAAGTTTACCCCCGAAGCAACCGAATGATCTGATGGTTCCTCATAAATGCCAGACGAAAAAAGTGAAGCAGCACGCCTTCTGATGCGGTTGTCAAGTGCATTAAACTAAAAGAACAAAGAAAGAAACGAAGGCACTAGCTTTAGTGGAATTTGTTGGAGATCATTTCTAAGTAATACATTCACAATTGGGAAACAAGCAACTGAATACCCGGTCTTCAATCCTGTCATACATGAATCTGCAACCTGGCTCAGGCCCATCTCCATTGACAACCAAAGAAAACCTCTTCAAAGGTTTAACCCTCTTGATCACATCATCCTCAGAGTCCATACCAGCATCCTTTTTGTCACCATTCTCGGTATCAGGCAGATTGTTGAAGTTGAATCTCGCAACAAACTTATCGGTTCTTCGCCCGAATGGAGTCACAAGCCTTGACGGCTTCTCAGAAGAATAACCGTTCCCGTTCGAGTAGAGTGCTGAATCAAATGGATCAGAGTATGGTTTTGCATTTTTAACTGGAGGAGTGCTCAGAATTGCATCCTTCAAGTTTTCCTCGTCATCAGTCAAAATCCTGTAAAGAAAAAAAGAAAATTTCCCTCAATCCTGAATTCTACTATGAATTGAAAGAAATTGTTCACGAGGAAACTGCTTACATGTCAACATCTTTGCTCGAGTAGAAATGAAGGTCGGCTTCTTGTTTAACCACCGCTTCTTTCTGCTCGTTTTGTAAGTGCGATAGGAAACCTTCCATTTCCACATTCTGAACAACTAGATCTTTCAGCTTTCTGTAACATAAACCACAAAAAGCGGAAATAACAAGCTCAAATTAAATTATAGTGCTCGAAAGTTGCAATTAAGAGGGGGAAAAAGAAGAAAATTTTCACATATATTCGTATCTCCTTGTACCGATTGAGAGAGTAAATGTCCCAGCTGGAAACGAGATCCGAAGGCGTAAGCTTGTAGTTTATGCAGAAAGTGAGACCTGGTAAACCCCGAGCGACCAGATTAGGAACTCAAACCGACATGGAAATGAACCGAGTGACAGTAGAAGATTGGCGGGAAGCATGGGATAGGGATTCTTACATTTGTTGAGGATTTCCTCTTCGTTATCAAGGATGAAACCGTTCTTCTCGAATTCGGCTTTGATTTCGCCTTCCATGACTGGTTTCCTTCTTCGCTTCGATTTTGCTCTGACTAGGGTTTCAGTAGGGGGAGAACTGGAGAAGGTTGAGGGGAGAGAGTAATGGCGGGAAAATGCAGGTTCGATCAGCCGCTAATCTGAATCTCCCGCGGCTTTTAGTTTCATTATAATTACAGAAATACCCTTTTCTGCGGGCCTCAATGGATTTCTTCAGTCGCCGAAAAGCCCATTCTAAGTTTAGCCCAATTTTGGAAATGCTCGTTTTTTCTACGGGCCCGAGTCCATTTCATCTTAAACGGAAAAGGCCCATTTAATAAATCCACCTTCAGCCAAATGGAAGAAAGAAGCGCAGAATCAAACTGTCGAATTGGGATGCAAAGAAAACATTGGCATTTGATGCAAGGATTTCTGGTTACGAATGTTAAAAGTACTGTACAATACGTACATTAGAACAATGAAAAAACAACTTCCTTTTTCCAAAACCTTGAGAGCCATGCGTTGCCTGATCTGGAAAAGAAAGAACATTACTAAAAGCTCTCCCTCGACCTTCTGTGTCTCGCAGCAGCAAAGAGTTACATTACATCAGAGACTTGTTCAAGCTGCTAAAGAAGTAGGCCGCCGGTGGGTGTAATCCTCGTATCCTGGTTTACGATTAACCGAATCGCCACCATCGACTCCCAACCCTTGTGCCCCGAAAGACAAGTACTGGTTCATCAGCTTCGCATTGAACGAACCTTGCTTGCGAACCAGGTTTTTATCTCGATTCAAAGAAGCTGGTGAGCACGCGGATGAAGACACAGCTGAAAAAGGACTCTGAGGAGTCGACTGATCAGAGAAATGTGGCCTCGCATTTATAACTCCGTGCATCAACCCTGCTGCAAATCTGCTCCTTGTCAAAGGACTCGGAAGATTCCCATTACCATTGAACGAGGCGAGCTTCGAGTATTTCTTCCTCAACGGAGTTGGACACTCCTCGTAGCTTCTGCAGAGATGAAAGGAGTCGATGGAAGACGCCTCATCGTCTGTTAACTTGGCCACCACGGTAGGGTCTTTCTGATCTTTTGCTTTCTTCTTCTTTGGCAATTGGAGGAGTGCCTTCAGCCGCTTTGCAGCAGAACTCACCTTGTTTCCTGGCCTAGTACTACTTGCCCTCTTCTCCAAGTCATCTACACTTGCATCTTGTTGACTCAATGCTGAACTATAATCCGCGCTGGTTCCCAGCTCGCGGCTGAAATCAGACGCCGCTGCATGCTCCACACCTGTGTGGAGGAAGAGGAAGATCTCACCATCCGGGATCCGAAAACTCGTACCTGGGCTCATCCCTATGTCTCTCAACTGAGAGGCAATAGCGGTGATATTGTGTCTCTTGCTGGAGACACCTCCAGCCGAGACCAGCTGCTTGATCAGGATCTCCGAAGCAGCTGATCTCGGCCTAATTTCCCTCAGGAGATCGAGTGGTGTCATGCCATCCGCGTCTTTAACATTCAAATTGATCGAGGGGACGGTCATGAGAAGCTCGACTAGGCTAGATTGGATATTTTCAAACACAGCAATGTGGAGAGGCGTCCTTCCATCGTTGTTCTTCACATTGATGACCTCTTGGATGTTCACAATCCCACCAGCGGAGATTAGCTTCTCCATGAGCTCAATCTGCTTGTCCATTCTCCGAAAACCGGGCGTCCTGAACCCCGAAACGGCCATGTGGAGGAATGTGTCGCCATGGATGTTTGTGAGTGAGGTTAGTGATGGACATTCTTCGATTAGCGCCTCGACAACCGGTAAGTGGCCTCGATAAGCCGCTACGTGGAGGGCCGAGTTGCCGTTGTGGTCTGTGGAAGTTATGATGTGATAGGACGCTATGAGCTCCTTCACCACCTGGAAATTAAAAAATCATACTTATTCGTTATGACAACCGAACCGTTTCTTTTCCTGCAAATGTTAAAAAAGAAACGTTTGTGTTTCTTTCCGCAGAAGAAATTTTTTTACCTCAACTTGGCCTCTTCCAGCTGCAGAATGCAAAACAGAGGAACCCTGTTCATCACGATAACTCAAAACATCGCCGCAATCCTTAATCAATTCCCTCAAAATCTCCAGATTCCCACCTCTGGCAGCAGAATGAACCACACGATTCACAATCTCCATCTCGAATTCCTTGTCCCCTTTTTGATTCTCCACCTCTTCATCGTTCCCCTGTTTCCCCGTCGGCGAAACAGAGCACCGGAGCAAAACCCTGAAAACCTCGGAGTTCCCGCCCCTCGCGGCGGCGTAGAACATGTCCGTGACGCCGTACTCTCCCTCGCCGAACACTAGAAACGGGTCTCTGTCCAGCAATTCGTCGACGAATTTCAAATCGCCGGCGGAGGCGGCCGTGTAGAGCAGCCACCCGCCGTACCGAGCTCTTACGAGGGTGTTGTAGCCAGGGGAGACCTCGCACTCCGTGTAGAGCATGCGGGCGACGTGGGCGCGACACTTGGCGACATCTCCTCTGGAGTCGGGCTTCTTCTCGTCGTCGTCGTCCCAAACGGTCTCGAGGCGGCGGATGCGGCGGAGGGAGGTGAGCTTGATGAGGAGGTTGTTGTCCAAGTGGAGAAGCTCCCTAACCAGGTCGTAGTGGCCTTCGGCGGCGGCGAAGTCGATCGGGGACGCGTACCACCACTGGTCGCCGGTGCTCTCCCACCGGAGGGAGAAATTCGACGGCGGCATTTTCAGGGACAGAAGGAAAAATTGAAAGTTAGAAGCTTTTCGTTCTTTTATGAATTGGGGTTTTGATTGGGAGGAGAAACAGAGAGAAGAAGTTACAAGAAGAAGAACAGTTCATTGTGAAGTGGGGGGAAAAGAGGAAAGACGGCAACTTTTTTGCCGGGAAAGGGAAGCCATTGAAGAGGGAAAGGCACACTAAAAGGGTCGTTTTTTTGGAGAGGAGGCCACTTGGATTTGATTTGTGGGGTTGTGCTGTTCTTGTGGTGGAGAGGAATTTTCTGGATTTGGGTTAGCGTGTTATATAATAAACAAAAGATTTTTTTTTTTTTTTGAGGGAAATAAACAAAAGATTTGATTGCATAGAGGAGAGTCAGATTCCGTGCTCTATAATTAGCTCGTGAACGTGAGTGTCTTTGTCTGGTGGTTCCCGCGGGAATAGTAAGAGAGTGAGGGAGGATTGATTAGGTTGAGGAGGTTTTCATGGGATTCTGTTGTTTTATGTACAACTTACTGTATACAGAAGATGGATTTTCCTTTTTTCTGGAAGAAGGAAAGGCTATGGAGATTGGAGAGGCTTGTAATCATGTCAGCTTGGAGGGATCATTTGGGTAGTTTGACGATAGAGGTGAACTTGGGTTCTGGTGACCGGCCGGGAGGATGACTCTGTCGCCGGCAGGTTGTGTGGTGCCGGAGAGGGAAGATTAGCCGATTAGGGGAAACTAACACGGAATTTCTATTTAACGCCCTAAAAATCCTTGTCGGTTTTGCTTAAGTCCAAATAAACTGAAAACGAATCTTTGATTACTAGATTTGCACCCGGCCCGTTGGCCGGATACATTTTATCAATCATATAAACAATAATAGTAATTTTATTTTTATTTTCTATCATAAGAGAATCCAAATATTAAATTATTGGAAAAAAAATAAAAACATGAATCATAAATTGAAATTTTTTACGACATGCTAGTTGATCCATCAACTAACATCAATACCAAACTTAAAATAAATGATGCAAGGGAATCCACTCCTAAAATGTGTTCAAACCACATTTCGATTAGAAGTTACTGCAGATTTTCTTTTGAACTTCTCAATTGCTTTTTCATAATTAACATTATCAATTTATCATCCCACCAATAACAACGCCTTCATCTTCGTAATAGCACCTTTATTTCCAAAATAAATATTTTACTATTGTTCTCTCGCATTTAAACAATCTCTTCTTCTTCTCCTAAATTTCATTGAAATCTAAATTTAATGGTAATCTTTTTACAAATAAAAAACATACTTTTACTATATTTTTATAGAAATATAAGAGATCTATTTAATAGACTACATATATTATTATTTTATTAGAGTTGAGACTCAATGGAGCCGTATCAAATTCCATTTGATCAGGATAATATTTTTCTAATATGTATTGAAATAAAATGTTGGAACATGATTATGTGATAAATGTCAAGCCCAATAATGAACTTACTTCTCCCTCGGTGGAATAGAAAAGAAGAGGTGTAAAAGCAAAATAAAAAGGTAAAAGGACGTTTGTGTCCTGCCGTGAGATGCGCTCAGGGCTACAATTAGTGTTTTAAGCCCCTTCTCACGCAGAATCTCCATAAATGAGTGTGTAGATGTTAAAGGTTTATCGGTTTTAACAATCGAAACCAAACTGACAGTGGCACCCCATTTCAGTTTCTATCAAACCACGAACCGACCCGGGCATGAGTATTGGATCTTCAATTTCTAGCCGTATCGTCACTTGTTTAGGAGAACCATTAGTTTATGCTTATGCTACTTTACAGCCGATTGAATAAGCATATAGAGATTACCAAGGCAAAAGAGGACTTGACTTGGCTTGGCTTGGCTGACCCCATCTCCCGTGCACATGCTTGGCTTTTATGGCACCACCACCCTACAATCAGATGAAACAAAAAAAAAATTCACCCTTTAATCTATCTGCTCGCATTGGATCACGAGAATCCAATCCTTCTTTAAACTTTCTCTCTCTATCCCCACTGCCATTTGTGGTTTTTGGTGAGATAGAAACACAGAATAGACATCACCATGTGACACACCAGGAGTCCCCATGGCCAAAAAACCGAAACAGTTACAGAAACATCCAAGAACACAAGCCAAAACTCCCTTCTCAAGAAAAAAAAGGCGAAGAGCACAAACAGAGCACTTGATGCTTTATGAAATGCAACCAGCTAGAGATAAACCAGAAAGGTAGCAGCTTTATATGAGGGCAGCAAGGTTGAAAACAAATACAACAGTTCACTAACCTTTCATTGGAGAATCTTTAGGCAATTCGAGATGGGAGGTTGCCTGTCCTCAAAATAGTCAAATGCCAGTAAGGCAACTTTGATATCATCTTCATAACACAGATTTCCAGGTCACTTGAAATGTTTCAGAAACCCTGGCTGTACTTCAGTCTGTTGTAGTTGAGGAATATGCCAGGAACCATGGAGAAAATTGAACCAGAAGACTGTCAAGTATCAGACAGCCTCCAAGATTCAAACATTCTCTAATTACAAACTTGTCTCCTAATGAGGTTGCTACTAGAGTCTTGAAATTGATAGAAACCCGCAATTTCATAATTTTGTTTATTCGGATTACTTTTGTCGGTTTATTGTTCTTTGAGAATTATTGGGGCAAATTGGGAGTTATTTAATAATTCGGGTAGTGGTAGGGAATTTTCTATTTTTATATAAACTACTTGTACGTGTGAATTAACCACTAAGCAAGAATTATACTCTAAACCTAAAACTCTCAACTCCCTCTCCCTTCCTCTCTCTCTCTCGGCCGACCCAACTTCTTCTCCCTCTCTTCCATTGCTGCGACAGCAGCCTTTCTTCCCCTTTACCTCAATTCCCAACTCCCCTGTTCCACCCCATTTCCCCCCCCCCCCCCCCCCAATTCAACCCTAATCACCACCTTGGTGATTGTTACTGTTCCAATCCCTCACAAACCGATAGAACCTAAATTTAGGTTTCAATCATCTGGTATCAGAGCCCCGTTCTGATCTAAGCAAATCAACCAAGAGCATGATCGCGTTATGGCGGTGACGAAATCTCAGAAGGCTGCGGAGGAGGCGGCCCGAGAGAAGACCACCGCGGCGACAGGGTAAGGCAGCGGCGGTAAAGGTGGGCCGGCGGTGGAGACGGTCAGGGTGGTGGACGAGACCGGGCTGGAAGAACTCCAGATCGCCGTGGGCGAACTCCAGGTTACTGTGAAGAGGCTGATGGTAGAGCGGGAGGTGGTGGAGGAGCGACGTCGCGAAGAGATGGATAAAATTCGGCAAGCCCTAAGCAAACTGACGCGGGATGCAGAGGCGAGACCACGCAATCCGCGAAAGTGGCGGCGGTGGCCACAGGAGTAGGAGGATCGTCCGCTTCGGCCACCGGGCTAGGGCTGGAGAACGGGCGTGCAGGCCAAGTTTACCTTGGGCCCAACCGTGAGGTGGGCCTACTTCCGACCCCGACGGCCCAAGAGATGGCGGCCCGGAAGGGCAAGGCCAAAATGCCGGGCTATGACAATGTGGGCCCACTGAACCATGAAGAAGAGGGGAGTCGGGCCTGGGTGCCTAACGGGCTAGGATGGTTGAGCCCAGAACCTGCTCAAGAAGAGGATGAGCTTAGTCTGGGTGGCCGGCCAGAGAAGTGGGCCGAGCCCAACCAGAGGGCAGTCGGGTCAGACCTGAGGTGGGCGATTGACCAGGACGAGTTCGGGTCGCATCAGACCGGTCAAGGCGGGTGGGCCAGGACCAGACCGACCGGTCCGACCAGAACCTGTCTGACCGGGCTCGGGTGGACTCAACCGGGTCGAACCGACATTGAACCGGGTCGGGATAACCAGCAGCAGGGCGGGCCGAATCAGGGATTCCCTATAGGCGGTCGCGGATCGTTTAGTGAGGCGGGAGGCTTCCACCCGTCGCGCGTGGGACCGGATTGACCGGGGCGGGTAACCCATGACTCGAGGATCTGGTATGCCGGGCCACCCTAAGGCTAGGAGGGAGCCGAGTTCATGAACCGAGTTCCGAGAAATCTGCACAGTGGAAGGTATGCTGGGTATGACCGTTTTAATGATGTGGATGATGACTTGATTTTCAAAGCTAAGCCTCCAACCATTGAATTTCCGAAATTCAATGGGCAAGAGGATGCAGGGTTGTGGTTGTATGCAGCTGATAGGTGGTTTAAGAACCACCCGACTCGGGAGGAGCGGAAGGCGCACCTGGCGTCTTTCTACCTGGAAGGTGACGCGCTGCACTGGTGGGAATGGTTGGAGAGGTCGTACGCGGCTACGGGAACTCTGATCACATGGCCGATGTTCCATGAGGAACTCCGTTATCAGTTCGGCAAATCAGAGTGATGGGCCCCCGAGCAGCTAGCTAAGTTGAGACCGACCGGAACAGTGACGGAGTATCGGTCGGAGTTTCTCAAGCTGGGGAATCAGTGCAAAGGGGTTCCGGAAGAAACACTGGTGGGCCTATGCTTGGCTGGCCTAAAGCCGGAGATCGCGGCAGCTGTCCGGGTGTTCGAACCTGACTCGGTAAGAACTGCTTTCTGTTATGCAGGTCACAAGGAGGAGGAACTGGCTAGCTAGAGGAGCGTCATCGGCTGTTACCCGAGGCCGAGCAGCGGGGGAAGCAGTAACCCCGGGGGCAGTAGAGGGGGTAGCGCGGCCGCAGGAGCGAGAACCGGAGCTGCAGGAGGAGATCCGCCACCACCACCGGCTGAGACAGGGCCAAGACCAGGTCCTCGTGCTCCACCGAAGGGCTTCGTCAGGCTGACACCCGCTGAGATTGAACAGAAGCGCCGGGAGGGCAAGTACTTCAACTGCAATGAGCGGTTCACCTTCGATCACCAGTGTGCAAGGCCAGATGTGATGATGCTGGTGGGACGTTGGGAAGATGAAGCAGAGGACGAGGCGACGGAGGCCTTGGAAGAGAAGCAGTGAGCTCAAGTCAACCTTGAGGACAAGGTTGTTTCCAAGGAGGTGGGGATGATAGAAACCCGCAATTTCATAGTTTTGTTTATTCGGATTACTTTTGTCAGTTTATTGTTCTTTGAGAATTCTTGGGGCAAATTGGGAGTTATTTAATAATTCGGGTAGTGGTAGGGAATTTTCTATTTTTATATAAACTACTTGTACGTGGGAATTAACCATTAAGCAAGAATTATACCCTAAACCTAAAACTCTCAACTTCCTCTCCCTTCCTCTCTCTCTCGGCTGACCCAACTTCTTCTCCCTCTCT